CATGTGTCAGCTCCCCAAGAGGAATGTAATCAGTATGTACTAATAGAAATAAAAATAAAAAATGGAAAGGGGGTTAATGTGAGTGACAAACAGTAAACATGGAAAGAAATGAAAGAGGAAAAGAAGGAAATCCATGTCACGTAGGGCCCATGAAGCTCACGTAAGTACTTTGAATGTTATTTAAATATAGTACAGGGAGATGGAAAATGATTTTAGGAAAAACTAAATAACCTATATTGTGAAAGGATTATTCTAACTACTATGTGCATGCTATGAACATGAAAATGGACACTTATTATGAGACAATTGAAATAGTACAAAAAAGATATGATAAGGAAAATGAGGGTATATATGCATTATCTTAGTGAGTTAAGGCTCCTTAAACAACAGCTAAAACAAAAAAAAAATTAATTTTTCCCAGTTTTGGAGTCTGTGAAGTCCAAAATCAAGTTACCAATAAAGTCAGAGACTGACAAAAGCCACTGGTTCATTGACAGCCATCTCCTTCCTCTGTGCTTACATGGAGGAGGGAACAAAAGAGTCCTTTGGGACCTGTTTGATGAGGGCACTGATACCATCTATATAAGGACTCATGATATAATCTCTCCTTGAAGACCCCATCAGCATATTGTTAAGATTTCCATGTGAATTTGGGGGACCTACTCATTCAGTACTTAGTCACTTTTGGAGTATATTTTGAAAAGTCAATACAATGTAGAAATTATAAAAACAAAAGATTGATAACATTTGGGTTTCTGACCTAAAAATTGAGTAACTTAAGTACAATTTCCTGAGATGCTACTAGAAAGGACAAATGTGTTTAGGATGAGTCTGGCTTGAGATTTGTTACATTTTATTTGTTTATTAGTACTCTGAGGGGAAATGTAGAGTTGAAAGTTTGACATTTAAATCAGGAATTCTAAAAAAAGATAAGAATGGAAATACAAATTAAAAATAGTAAAACCATACATGATTACTTGAGAAATGAGTTAAGATAAGGAGAAGTCTAAACCCTAACCTGGAGGCAATGCAACATTAAAGAAGTTAAATTGACTAGAAGATTCAAGCAAAGTAAACTTAAAGTGAAGTTTTTATTATCAGAGAATTTGGAGTTAAATTGACTATAATGTCCAGTGAAGAATGTGTTTAAAGATAAAAGAATAAAAGCTGAAGAAGTAATTCATTTGTAAAGCATTTGCCTAGCATGTGCAAGGCTCTGTATCAAATATCAGCATTATGGGAAAAAAATCAGAAAGCACAGTTGACCTTTTAAATATCTATTAGGTAAATTAATTGGTTTCATTAGAGTGATGATGAAAAAGACCAGCTTACTGGGGCTGGGATTTAGCTCAGCGGCATAAGCGCCTGCCTTGCAAGCAGGCAGTCCTGAGTTCGATCCCTGGTACCGATAAAAACGAAAAAGACAAAAAAGAAAATGAAAAAAAAAAGACCAGCTTACATGAACACAAGAAAGAATGGGAGCAGAAAAAGCAGAACTATCAAGTAAAGAAAACTTCCAAGGAATTTTTCTGTCACATTGTGCCAGTTGTGCAGGAAGAAGGAAATATTTATGCTTAAGATGAGGCCTGTAAATTTGCTCTATAAGATGATGGTACTAGGCCTCCCTGGTAAGTGGCTGTGCTGTGGCAGGCTACAGCCACCCCAGGGGGAGAACCACCAGTGTCTCCTGAGATCCACACCATGTTGGAACTTAGGATGCTGGGAAAGCAAGCAAGCAGCTCGCCTCCCTGGTAAGTGGCTGTGGTGTGGCAGCCTGTGGCAGCCCCAGGGAGAGAACCACCTGCATCTCCTGAGATCCACACCATGTTGGAACTTAGGACGCTGGGAAACCAAGCAATTAGCCTGCCTGCCTGTTAAGCAATCGTGAGCTTACTGGTGCATGGGCTTAGAGTCAAACATCCCACTTTCCCTGCCCCCCTTTAGCAGATGGGAACCACAGATCTGAGCATCTTTTGGGAGGTTGACCATATGCAATACAGAAAATAAAAGGGATTTCCTTCTTTTTTGAAGGAAAATATTTTTGAAGGTAAATATTTTTACTTCTGTTTTGCTGTAGTCTGATTAATGGTACTGTTCTATTCAATACTCTGTTTTGATAAGTTCTATAGTGTTCTGTACTTCATTTTATTTTGCTATGCGTGATTGAAAGAACAATTAATGTGATGATAACGAGATATACTGTGATAGCTATTGTTGTTATCCCGGTACCCTGCTGTGAAGTTCTGTACCAATTTCACTACTCGTGTCTCAATTGACTTTGTTCTGTCTTGTTCTGTTGTATTTTACTGCCTTCAAAATAATAAAAAAAAGATGATGTTACTATGGGAAAATTGAAGATGCAGAGCTTCTCCAGAGCAAGATTTTTATGATACAGTATACAGATAGTAAGGAAAACAGGCATGAGAGTTCCCACAGATCCAGGGGCTGTGACTACGGTGGTTAAAGTCTGTGTGGAGTAAACCTGAATGACCTTGTCTCCGCTGGAGGAATTCTACGATTGGCCTCTGCTTGGACTTGTTCTATAGGATAATTTGGCAATAGGTAGATATGGGCCCAGACTGATTCTTTACTTCTTTAGGCAGAATCTATCTTCCCAATATCCCCTCACTGAAATTAATTTCTGCTTATAACACTCAAAGGCCATTTCTCTTGCTCAGAAGTGGCATTAACAGCTAACACAAGATCTCAGAAAACCTCGTTTTACCCAGTAAATACATGAGGTTACTGAAACTGAGGACATTAATTTATCATAGTTTTAGCATGAGAAATATTATGATCCAAATCATTGTGGGTCCTCATCAAAAGCTACAAAGCCTTGGGAAACAGACTGATATTTTCATTCTTTAAAACAATGTAAGTTAATATTCCTACCTGGCATAACTATCAAGGCAAAGAAATCATATATATTTAAATAATGTTAAATTTAAATAGGCCAAGTTTCAAACTCTTAGTTTAGCAGTTGTATCACAGTAGAAATTCTGTAAATATGTTAAATAAAAAAATATTCTTTAAATTATATATTTATACAAAGTAAATTATTCCTTCCATTCTGTTATTACACATAGATTCAAGTAACTTTATCAATATAAAATTTTATGTCATCCATCTGTCCCTTGAAAATGTTTTACTTCTCACATTTAGATACTAAGCAACATATCAATTTTATATCCATAAATACTCCCACCTGACAAAATTCACATAAGATTTTCTTAGTGAAAGCACTAAAAATGATCCTTATATCTTTACCTTACACTCTCTTCCCTTAGAGTGTCACTGTCCTTATATGTATTAATTTAACAGAATTTCTTTAAGTTTTCCCCTAATTCTTTAAAACACTGAAATGTACATATTCCATATTACTTGGATGCCTGAGACCATGCTAGAATACTGTGACTTTATACATTGAACATCTCATTCTTGCCATAGCAGAGATTTTCAGAAGCTGGAATCTCAAAAAATCTTAAAGGTTCTCCCAGATCAATTGAGTAAGCTTGTCCTGCACCACATCACACACAGGCAACCACCCTACTGTCATTGGCTGATAATATCTCTCTGAAGGACTCTTTTCATAACCTTAGCTACATCCGTATTCCAGAAAGTGCAAATCAAAGGATTCAGAGTGGGAGTAATGACACTGCACAATACAAAACTGATTTTGAGAGGCTGGGGATTTAGTTCAGTGGCATAAACATCTGCCTGGCAAGCATGAGGTCATGATTGCCATCCCTGGTACCAAAAATAAATAAATAATAAAGAACAAAACTAATTTTGTCTTGCAATGGGATCTGCTGGGACCTAGGCCTCATGTATGAGAAGATACAAGCACCAAGCCGGAGGGAAACCAGTGAGGTGAGAGCTTCAAGTGTTATGAAAGGAGTGTCATTTGTTTTTTCCCTTGGTCACTTTGGCTGAGCTCTGCCTATGGAAGGTAGGAATTCTTATGAGAAACTTTTGTAGCATGAAGAAAAACATGTTATTTTTCTATTTGTTGCCAAATTATCTGTCGGGAAACCAAACATTTCCTTGGAAATGAGCCTTCTTAATTTATTCAGATATAACTTGGAATTCAGAGAAAGAAAGCAAAGCCAAATTACTTTTCTTTGTTGAGACTTTATGGGCCAGAAAGAACTAAGGAGAAAGAGTATTCTGCTAAAAAATATATAGGTAGCACACTCTCCAACAGAAATAACTAAAAAACTCAAGAAAAGAAATTTCATACTTACATTTAAATCATCCACTGAAGTACATTATGTTGTAAACTTCTCTTTTGCTAATACCATTAAAATCACCATTAAAACTCTATTGTCTTTGCTGTACAGTATTGGGAGAAATGCATTTTAAAGTAGGGACTTAGGCCAGGCATTGTGCAAACACCTGTAATCCCAGTACTGAAGAGGCTGAGATAAGAAGATCACAGCAAATTTAAGTCCAACCTGGACTACAAAGTCAGTTCAAGGCCATCTTGAAACTCTGTCTCAAAAAGATGAGAGAAGAGAAAGAAAGAAAGAAAGAAAGAAAGAAAGAAAGAAAGAAAGAAAGAAAGAAAGAAAGAGAAAGGAAAGGAAAGGAAAGGAAAAGGAAAGAAAAAACAAAAGAAAAGAAAGAAAGGACTTGGTCCTGCATTTAAGTTATTCTTGTGACAAAGACCATGCAATAGATACAGCGTGCCAAGTGAGATATGAGCAGAAATCAGAGCTACACGTGGTCATAGGGGCACAGTCTGTGAAATCACTGTAACCTTTCTAATGATGCAGATAACTGAATGAATCTCATCCTGATATTAAGAGACTTTGGGTTGTGTATACTTGTTTTGACATAGCCAAAATTTCTACACCTACAGGACTGAGCAGCAGTCACATATTATAAGACTTTGACGTTGCAGGGAGCACAGAATGTGGAGCACAGAATGTGGAGCACAGGAGATAAGCCGAGTAATTGAGACAAGAAAGAACATTGTCTTCAGCAACAAGAATACCATTATTAGTCATCAGTGTTTATTGAGCATTGCAAGGGAGAGTCGTGGTTCAATGCTTCTGTTCAGTGATTCTTGAACCAAGCATATAAAAACTGTGATGATGACACCAGATAATTCCAGCAAGAAGCCATAATCAGGAATCCTTCAAGATAATGCTTTCAATTGCATGGCCCATCACAGCCCCAATCATCACTGTAGATCCCAGGTCTGCTGGCAGCCAGCAGAACAAGGTGGAATCCCAGGAACACAGGAAACATGAGGTGCCCCACAAGGGTGGAGCACTGGCTCTCATAAGCCAATAGCTGCCTCAGGAACCTGCCACACATCCTGTTAGGAAACAGAAAACAGTGACCAATGTATGTTGCTAACTGCTCTTTAGAGAGAGCTCTAGGCTACTTTGTTATTGCTAACCCAAGGATCCTCTCATAAGGTTTTCTATAGAAGAGCTGAGTGTCTTCATACTTCTGCAGAGATCAGGCAGCAGAGGTCAAGTAAAAGCTGAGATTTTTTTCTAAGTGAGGAAACAACTAAATGGAAAAGCAAGAAGTGCAACATATTAGAACTCTAATCCTGATTCATGGGAAGGAACCACCCAATTGACGGGCAAGGATCCTGGGAGATGAGTTGGGGGCAGTAGTCAGAATGCATCTGCCTGTAACATCTACAAAGTAGAATGCATCTACTTTGTAACATCTGGAAATTGCACTTCCCTGAAGGATGAAGGACCTGCCCTGGGTAGAGATTATTGGGCAGTAACCTTAGGGCAAGAAGGGAAAGAGTGGTCAGGGTCCTTCTCACCTGTTTCTTGACACTACTCTTTCGTTTCCACCACTGGGAAGGTATTGGTTGGTTCCTTTTGTCTTGTGGTGCTCTCTGAAGTTGAGAAGCAGTTAGAAGAGAGAAATCTGTGCCTCTGGATCTTCCACAATCTCCCTAAACCTAGAAGCATGAGCTCCAAAAGAGTAAACAAAAGGCACAGCCCATTAACCCCAAACATGGTCTTTAGAAAGATGGTCTTCTCAGAGGGACGGGACAGATTACAGTTTACGCTGCCAAGGCAAGGATCTCGACGACATGAAAAGGAACTTTGTACCTTGAACCCATACAGATGGTACTGCCCCCCCAAGGCTGCCCCTTCAAGGACCACTCGAGCCCCCAACTGCACCACATAGGCCCAAAATATCTTGTGACTTCCAGCCCCTGAGGCATCTCTGCAGCTGTCTCCTTTATGGATCAGGGTCTCCTCCTCTTTCTTCACCTTTCTTGGTTCTTCCCAGTGTTCAATTACATGACACAAAGTGAACCCCACATAGAGGGCACTGGGTACAGCCACCAGGATGACTTGGAAGGCCCAGAATCGCAGTGGAGAAAGGGGATGGGAAGCATCATAGCAGGCAGCCTTACAGCCTGACTGCTGGGTGTGACACACAAATTCACTCTGATCATCACTGTAGATCCCAGGTCCGCTGGCAGCCAGCAGAGCAAGGCGGAATCCCAGGAGCACAGGAAGCAGGAGACGCCCCACAGGGGTGGAGCACTGGCTCTCTTGAGCCAACAGCTGCCTCAGGAACCTAGCACACATCCTATTGAGAAACAGAGAACAATGATCAGTACATGTTGCAACTGCTCTTTAGAGAAAGCACCAGGCTACCCTGTCACTGCTAACCCAAGCACCCATAACGCCTTTTTCTCCCTTCTTCAAAGATCTGGTTGATCAAATATTATATTAGTCAGCTTTGCGTGCTTAAAATGAATTACCTGAGTCTATTACATTTGTAAAGAAAAGGGGTTTATTTAAATCATGGTTTGGGAGGCTCAAAGTCCAAAGAGTATAGCATAGGCTTGGCAAAGTCACCCACTGAGTGCATCACATATATTGGGTGGCAATAGCAAGGAGCATATGTTGGAGCAAATGCTCACCTCTCCAACCCACTGCAGCTCTCTTTCAAGAGCATGTCTCCAAGACCTAAAAATCTTCTATTAATTTTCACCTTTTTTTATACTGGGAATCAAACTCAGGATCTCAAGTACTGTGCCACTGAGCTATATCCACAGCCTTTATCCCACTTCTTAAAAGTTCGTAGCACCGGAGACCAGAGAACATGGCGGACAGACAACAGCAACTACCAGAGGCTCTCTGAAAGGTTCGGCTCAGAGGCCAGAAATAATGCGGACTAGGGAGACACGAATCAGTAGAGATATGCTCTGCTGACTCAGGAACGAACTGGGCTGAGAGAATCCAACTTGGAATACAGTCCTGGCGCTAAAATAGGAACAGAAAAATCTCAGTGTGGAGGCTCGACTCCGCGCCATCGGAAACCGGTTTGGATTTCCCGCCGTGCGGCGGCCGGCTATCTCCACAGCGGCTCAGCAAGGAGAGACGCGCCGAGCTCTGGGAGCGCCGAGCTCTGGGAACGGGAGAACGGAGTCGAAAAAAAAAAGGACGGACAGAGGTGTACACGAAAACTGACTGGTGGCGAGGTGAGTGAGAATCTGACCCCCCACCACAGTTTGACTCTAGCGGAGATCTCTCTGGGCGCCATTCCCCTCTCGGACGGGATTGGAGAAAAGTGCCTGGCCTGAGTGACGCTGCTGGCGGACTCTCTAGGCTAGACTAGCCTAACCCAGATCCCAGAGCCGGACGATGGCCCGGAGGAGCGACTGACTTCCGCGTAGGCTGCCTCCTCCGACTCCCTGGTGCGCAGCGGTGGGCGGGAACAACTAGCCAGCGCAATTTGATCAGGCTGTGGCTGACAGGCAGGGAAGCCGGGCCTCCTTTGTAAGATTGCATTTTATAAGGAACAAAAAATATGGGGAAGGGAAGCAACAAAAAAAGCTCCTCGGCCCCCAATCCTGAGAAACAGGCAATAATGGACGCCGCACCAGTATACATTAAGCACCATATTGAGAGCCTCATAGACCAATTCAGGAATGAAGTTATCAATGATCTGAAGCTAGAAGTATGCAGAATAGTTAGAGAAATGCTAAACACCACCCAGGAAAAAACAGATGGTGGAATGGAAGAACAGAAAAAGAGGGGAGAATTGCTTGATGGAGAAAACAGAGAAAGCATTGAGTATGTGAAGCAGGTTCAAAGGGACTATCAAGAAATTAATAAGTCTATACAAGACTGGCATAACAGCTTGAAAGAAACTAAGGACAGACTATCTGAACTGGAGGGCAGACTTGAAATATGGGAGAATGAAATGAAAAACTTCTTAAAAATAACAAAGAAACAAACAGCAATAATACAAAGACAAGAAGATGATAAGAGGAGCCACCACTTAAGGATTAAGAACATAGAAGAAGAAGTAGGGACACAAACAAATGAATTACAAAAGCTACTCACAGAAATAATCCAGGAGAACTTTCCTAATTTAGCAAAAGGTAAAGATACTCAGCTGTATGAGGCATACAGGACCCCAGCTACCTACAACCCTAACAGAGAAACACCCAGGCATATAATAATAAAAATCCCAGAAATTCAATACAAGAACAGAATATTAAAAGCTGTAAGAGACAAGAAACAGATCACTTACAAAGGAACACCCATCAGAATTACAGCAGATTTCTCTTCACAAACCATCAAATCACGAAGAGCATGGGGGGAAATAATTCAAGCTTTGAAAGATAATAATCTCCAGCCAAGATTGAGATATCCTGCACAACTGTCCCTGGAAATTGATGGAAAAACGAGGTGCTTCCAGGATAAAGAGGAACTGGGGGAATTTGCAACCACCAATTCAACTCTACAGAAAGTATTGCAGGATATTCTAAAAAAAGAAAAATACAAAGAACCCAGAAATAGTGGCAGGGAGGCCACAACGAATGGAGCAGAGAACAAAATGAAGAAGACAAACTGACAGCTACTGACAGAAAAAGAGCTCAACAGAAATGAGACAGAGAAGATTGGATGATAGGAACAGCTATTTTTGAGAAAATGACATCTTAATAGGTAATGCTGATTCAGTACCATCTTGTTTTGAAGTCTCATCTAGCTTTTGTTCTTCTGTCTCCAATGGTCTAACCAGGTTGTATCTTATTGGATTTTGTTATGTACGTTAGTATAAGCAAAAACCTTTTAAAGACAAGGAGATTATACAGAGACCATTGTTCATTTTCTGTTAGTCAATTCCAAATACTCTATAATGCTGTCATTCTCTTAAATGGTTTTACATTGTTTTGATATACTTAATGCTACAGTATATGAAGTTGTACTCAAGGACTTCAGGGAGGGAGTCAATATGGTAACTATTTTTAAGTCGGAAATATCTGGTGGTGAAACACTATTCTGCTTAAAAGGTTATGTTTTGATCTGCCCTGTTTCGCTGTTATGCCCTCTTTTTCTTTTTCTCAATCTCCACTCCATTATATACTTTTTTATTGTTATCCATTTAATTAAAGGGAAAAATATAGCAGGATATAATATAGTAACCCACTTTGACTTTCTATTTTCTCGATTTGAAGCCCTGTATTACTCTCACCATCTTGTTTTTGACTGAGGTTCCTCTATTCTGTTTTGCTGAATAGTATCAGGTTCGAAAGTTTAGGCATCAGCTGAGAAGATAATGAGATTCATTATAACGCCCATTCTCGTTGACTTCTATCTACTTTTGAAGACCTACAATATCTCCAATGTTTTGGTTTTGTCGGTTTTATCCTTTACGGTTTTGTTCAATAGTATTACAACTAACGATATAGGCAATTCTATTAGAAATAGCGGGAGGCATTAGGGTAACCATTGTTGATCACCTTGTATTATGTTTTTATATTATCTATTATATCCACCCTTTTGACTTGACCGATTCTGTTCTGTCATGTCACATTTGGTTTTACTCTCTTCCAAAAAAGCAATAAGAACAGTGGGAGCAATGAAACCCAAAATGTGTAATAGTCACTGTACAAAAGAGAGGAAAAGAAAATGCTCTAAACTATATAACTGCATGTATATTTAAATGTATAAGACAGAAAATGATATCACAGAGTTCTAATGGATCATTGAACAGAACTGTTTGCAGTATCATTGCTGGAATGTCCACTCTACAAACTTTAATTCTGTGACTTGAACAATTATTTCTAAGATGGCAATATGTAATCTATTAACTAGTGATTTCCTACTGCGCATTTTTTTTCTTCTGTAAATCTGTATAACTTGTACCCCTTCACTGTTTTTTTTTCTTTTCTTTTCTCCTTAAATAAAAATTAAAAAAAAAAAAAAAAAAAAAAAAAAAAAGTTCGTAGCACCTACAAATGCCTCAACTTGGATACCTAACTCTTTGGAGAACATTCATTTAAAACTATAGCAAACATCAAAACTCTGCACCTATTTATTAGTTAATGGAGTCATTTATGTAAGATAAATAGTACAGTAGTGAATTGTGTAAAAAAAAAAAAAAAACCTCTCAATACCTTTGTCTCTCTCTGCCACTCTCCTTCTCTCCTTCTCTGTCCCTTTTCTCTCTCCCTCCCTTCTCCTAGCTTCCATTTCTGTATTGCTAGAATGGGAAGGACATTCAGCAGGGGTTCTCTTTGTCTTTTTTAACCTCCATCCCTCTCCCCCTTTCGGAAAGATTAATAGTAATAGCCCAGGAGAGTGCCTTTTTATTTCTGCCCTTATTTGTTGCTTCCCAAGTGACGGCTGCTCTATCTGGTGGCTCTAACAGTGTCACTTTAACCAATTTAGTGCTAACACTGAGAGGGAACACTCATTCTATTGCGCTCTTCTACTCTCTTTTGCCTTACCGTCAGTCACTCCCACCATGGGGATAAGATTCAGATACAGTTAGATCAGCAGGCTAAATAAGATTGGGATGAAATAAACAGGAAGGCTTCAACAGTACTTAGTAGCTGATACTCTTTAGACCTTACCAACATAGGAACATGTGAATATCTTGAAGGAAACACAGCAGAATTATCCATAATTAAATGCCCTTGTGTTTGAGCCTAAAACCAGAAATGACAGGATAGAAATTCAATTTTTCACTCTCCTTTGCCACTATTTTTTAGGTGTGTATATATATGCCTCACAGTAAGAGACAATCACATTTAAGGGCAAGTTTCAGAAATTCCTGGGTTCTACCACCAAAATCCCATCACATTTCAAACCCAGCTTTGACATCTTTATCTCTGTCCTAGTCAACAGCCCTCCTCAAATACCTAGTAGCTATTTGTAACCGTCCCTTAAGAAAAGCCAAATGCTTTTGCACTTGGCTCTTCTCAATCCCAAAAGACCATGTGCTGTGGTCCGAAGGTTGATGTCTTCCCAAAATCTGTATGTTGGAACTTAATACCCAGTATGATAGTATTAAAAGATGGAGCCTTTAGATCATGAGGACAGACCCCTCATAAACAGAATTAGTGCCATTGTAAAGGAGGTTAGAGGGAGCCATGTGAGGATGCTACAAGGGACCATCTATAAGAAAACAGGCACTCACCAGATGCCATGTCTGCTTGTGCTCTGATTTTAGACTTTCCTACCTCTAGAACCAAAAGAAATAAACTTTCAAAAGTTACCCCATCTAAAGTATTTTGTTATAGCAGCCTAAACAGACTATGACAACATACTATGCATCTTGTTCCACAGAGGGAATAGAAATTCTGGTGTGAAACCCTACAGGTTTACTATTTCATCTTCACATATATTTTCTTATCCAACATCTTAGGGAAAGAAATGACCCTGCCCTTGTCCAAGGATACTGCCCCTTCCAAATCTATGTTCTTGGATCTCTTCTGTTTCTTCAAAAATTTGATCTCCAAATTGTCTTCCTTATAATTTACCCCTCTGTTATTTCACCTCCAGCTATGGATATGATTAGGAATCTCTCTTTAACTTTTTTTAAGCTTTTTTTTTTTATCGGTACCAGGGATCGAACTCACGACTGCCTGCTTGCAAGGCAGGTGCTTATGCTGCTGAGCTAAATCCCCAGCCCTCCCTTTAACTTTAATAACAATGACTTGGTTCTGTAAGGTAACCTAGCAAAATAACCATGCCTAATTTGTCTCATGTCAGTTTCTCAATTATAGTACCCAGGAATATGCATGAAACAACTTTAAATGGAAATTAGTATTATAAACTATACATAAGAATAAGCCATATATCAAAGCATAGGTAAAATTATTACTTCTGACCAGTTAAAAGTGATGAATCAAAAGGTTTTCAACCTTTCTAAGGTAATTAATTGACAAGAGAAATTTGTCACTGTCTACCAACTGTTTTGAAACTATATTTTGAGCCCCTAGAAGTCAGACTTCCCTCAGTTCGTATCTTTCCACTTCTTTCATGGGCTGTTGTATATATGATGAATGTATCCTAGAGGCATATCAGCTCACTGAAATTCCTGTGTAAAAATGAGTTAAAATTTTTATGAGCAACCAATTTTCAATTTCTATAGACATGAAATTAATCTCATAATTAGAGGTGGAAATTGTAGTTGTTTCCAAGACTTAAATTTCAGAATAAATGGATTTTTAAACCTATAAAAATAGAATAAATGGATCATCAATATAATACAATTAAAATCCACTTTGAAGCAATGTATCAGATTCTAAGAAGAATCAAATTGGGATACTCAGAAACATACTTGGGAAGCTGTTTAAATAGCAGAAGTAACAAAAGATAAACAGATATAAAACACAGCCTACTTTTCTTACATGAAAACCAAGATAACAGCAAAACAAAATTCTTTATTTTCATCCCTAACTAAAAAAGTAAAATCCAAAATCTCCAAAGTCCAAAACTAAGTGCCAGTAAGACACCAGAAGAGGAAAGTTTCACACTTGACCTCGTGTGACATGTTATGATCGAATACAGGTGTACCAGAAATGTTCTATAAAATTATCTCCAGGCTATGTGTGTAAGGTATATATGTGAGGTGTGATCAAAATATACAGTAAATAAATAAACTTTTTTGACTTATGACAGTAAAATACATCTTGTCACTAATATCCCATAAAATCCATCCCCTCACATCCCATTGTCCTTGCCCCTTTTGAAGCAGTTCTAGAAGTCCTCTTTCATGAGTGTCTTTAGTTGCATTGTTATGATTTCCCTGGTGTTCTAAATCAGTTCAAAACACTTATCTTTCACAATCATTCTAACTTTGAGGAAGAGCCAGAAGTCACACAGTGCCCAGATCCAATGTATAAGGTGAATGAAGACACACCGTAACATTTTTATTTGACAGAAATTACCATAAATATGCCAGGCATGGTGGTGTATGCCTGTAATCCCAGCTCCTGGGAGGCTCAGGCACGAGGATCACTGTGACTCTGAGGCTAGTGTGGGCTATATAGGCAAATTTAAGGCCAGCCTGCCCTACACAGTGAGACCTTGCCTCCAGAAAACCAAAAAAAGAAAAAACATTAGCTAACTATTTAGAAGTTCTCATCAATGAGGGGTGGTCCATAACTATAATAAATTTGTAAATTTAAATCACAATAAAAGACAAATTGCCATTAATCCCCTCAGAATACCCTCCTTGCTTCAAAAACATTTATATCATCTTTTTTGGAAAAGTATCTTTTACTGTAATAAGTGCACAAGTTTTTTTTAATTTACCAATTCATCATATTCTTTTATCACTCTTGTACAAGACAGAAGTAAATTTCATGCTTAGAGTTGCTACAAAAGATACCTGCTGCAGGTATCTTGCCTTACAGAGCTGCCAACCGGGTCCCATGACCAAAAAAATCTCATTATGTATACACAAAAACTCCAAAACCAAAAGAAAACAAATTTCTAAATATTTCTGATTTCAAGAATTTCAGATAAGGGATATTCAACCTGTAACATACTTAGAAGGGGGAAAAGTACTTAGTAAAGTAGCTAAAAATAAAATAACTTTTCAACAAATGTTATAGAGCTTTACATAGGATCAAAACAAAAGTCAAGTTCCTATGCTGATTTTAAATTCCTCAGCCGTGGCACTATTGACATTTGAAACCAGTAGTGTTTTGTGTAGGGTGGGTGCTATCCTGTGGGATACTGTATTAGCAGCACCGCTGGGCTCTATCCACTAAACATCAGCAGCACCTTTCCTCCCTCCTGCCTACATGGTAACAACCAATAATGTGTCCAGACACTGCTAAGTTTCCTAGGGATAAATTCACCCTGACTTTAGAACCACGACTTCAGAGGGTCACTAGCTGATCACAAAACTCTCCCATTCTTGGCACCAGTTAGCAGCTCTGTAAGGCAAGATATCCAGCAGTATCTTTTGTAGCTTTCCTTAACCTGGGCCTCCTAGAGAGTTCAGACAAGTTCCACCCCCAAAATCTTCAGACAGATTGAAAGGAATTTCCTATACAGCAGTCCTTCCCTTCTCCTTTCTGCCTGCTTTTCTGGGACACTGTGGTCTTCCTGTCTGGTCCAGCTGTTCCAGCCCATCTGTCTCACCCCCTGAGATTCACGTTCTCCTCTAACACACAAGTTACAGCTTTGCCACACAGGTTTTGAGACCCCAAGACTGAACACCAAGGCCTTAGGTGCTAAGGAAGAAAAGGAGCAGGAGCAACCCTTGACAAAGTTCCCTTTCAGAGACAACGTTCTGTTTCTAACAGTGAGAGAATAGTTTTCACATAGTTAGTCTGGGAGTTGGTAGGATCAGAGCTTTGTTAAGATCTTAGATAACCAAGTAACTTCAATGAACTCAAGAATCAGGAGAGGAAAAAAGCTTAGACTTTGAGTGGATTTTCATATATCTAAAACATCATGATTTTGATAAGAATTTTTCCAAATATTACATATTCTTTTGAAGAAAAATATCAGGATTCTGTTAGTGGCGGAATCCATCCCAAGGAGTTAAGGGATGAGGAAGGGAATGTCTAGAGGGGAAGGCACAACCCCTTAATGCAAACCTATGCCCATTGCTCCCATCTACCCAGTGTGGCTTGAACAACATGCTAAATGCTTCTATTCAAAGTGTGGCCATAAATATCAGCAGGAAGGCAAAATCTCAGGACACAGCCCTGACTCCTGGATCATATCTAGTTGCAATACTATCACCAACTGATTCATGAGGTCAGATTTGAGAGGCCTCTGTAGAAGCCAGGAAAGCCCCTACAACTGCCACCAGAGTCCCTCAGCAAACCTGGCCACCCTCAGCCCATGTACTCACTTACACTCACCTGGCAGCTCTGAGTAGAAGCACCAACCACAGGAGAAAGAGGTCAAGAGAAGAATCCTCAGGCTGCAGACCACAGGGTCCTGGCTCTTTCCCTGGCTCTTCCTCCTACTGCCACTCTCTTCTTTCCCCTCCCCTTTTCATTCCTGGCAGCCTCAATGAAGGGTAAAAAAAAAAAAAAGAGGAGGAGCACGTGACAGCCCTGCAGCTAAAGCTCCAACTCTGAAGAATAAATGCTGCTGTTGAGGGTGAGGGATGTGCTCCCTAAGTGACCAGAGATGGGGATTCTCAGGTGATCTAAAAAGAGAGTGAAGACTTAAGGGTATTTCCAACATAGAACTTTTAGTCACTATTAAACCCTTACTTTCCTATCTAAAATACCAAAGCACAAGTTTACCCACTTGCCTGGGAGAAATAGCAAGATTCTCTCCTCACAACTGGATGAAAACTTGCTCCCCATCTCTTCGGGGACCCAGGGACCCCTCTATCAGGCCCAGCAAGAATTATTATACCTGACTCCATACCCATTCCCACTCCCTTCACTAAAGCCAGAAACCCTCCAGAGATGTAGCCAAGAACAAGGAGGTGCAAAGCTGGGTGGAAGAGTAATTCACAAGGCTGAGGAATTATGGAATGCAGTGCTGGACTGCTCTGTTACCTGTGATAGCCCCGTGTTAACACTAGACTCTGGAAGCAAGCTGGCTAGAGGTAACCTCAGTTCCAGGCACCACCCCTTCCTCAGGCATAATGTACCAGCATATTTCTTCTGTTTATTAACAAAATCACTGCTTGAATACAAAACTATCCTAAAAGCCAGCACTAAATCAGACATCCATCACCCACAATACTGTTTCCTAATACCCCTTGTTTTCCCAGACTATGTCCAGGACTCTGATCAGTACCTTCTTATCTAAGACTCTGCAAAAGATCTATTCCAGCAATTGTGGTCCCTGCAGGAGATGAGGCCCCTCTGGCTCTAATTCTCTGATGCTCTTCATTGTCCAGGGTTGGAGTCTTGAGCACATTCCTAGCCCACACAGCTCCCCACGACATGGCAGGGAAAGTTAGCCCAGATGAAATAGAGGAGCTGCCACCTGCTCTAGGAAATAAGCTTGTCTAGTTGTAAGTCACCAAAATGTGTAATCTGCTACTCTTAGATTTTTACCAATCTACCCATAAAAATCACAAGTATTTTTGAATCACAAATATTTTCCTAAAACTGGCATGAATGTGCTATAACATGCACACACTCATATACATTGCCTGTTTTATTGCAAATTAGCTCAGTTCTTTGATGACCATTTGACAAATGTCTATACTAAGCCTTCATTATGATCCAATCATTTCAAAACAGAGAAGCTCTGATATGTGACTGTCAGGATGTACTATATTCTATCTTCAGAATAGTTATATATACATGCTTATACACATATGAACACATATGTATGTGAAACATTTTTATATCTCATGCCATTTAGATAATCCATAACTCATCCTTCCTTTCAAGTGTCTATGAATTGTGAACACTTTCTCCAGAATAATCCTATTTCTCCTAGTACCTCCTGTGTCTCTTTCTTTTTTTTTATTTAAGAAGAAAAAGAAAAAAAAACACAAAAGGGGTACAAGTTATACAGACTTTCAGAAAAAATAAACAATAGGAAATCACTAGTTAACAGATTACATATTGTCATCTTAGAAATAGTTGTTCAAGTTACAAAATTAAAGCATATAAAGTGGACTTTCAAACAGTGAGACTGTAAACAGTTTTGTTCAATGATCCAACAAAACTCAGTAATATCGTTATCTATCTTATACACTTAAATATATTTGCAGTTATATTCTTTAGGGCACTTTCTTTTCCTTTCTTTTGTACAATGACAATTACACATTTTGGGTTTTATTACTCTCATAGTTCTTATTACTTTTTTTGAAGAGAGTAAAACCAAATATGACATAACAGAACAGAGTCAGTCAAATCAAAAGGATGGACATATTAGATAATATAAAAACAAAATACAAGGTGATCAACAATGGTTACCATACTGCCTCTTGCTATCTTAAAAAGAATTGCCTATATCATGTTATAATAAAATTGAACAAAACAGTAAAGAATAAAACCAAAACATTGGAGACATTACAGGACTTTAAAAGAAGATAACAATCAACTGGAATGGGCGTCATAATAAATCTTATTGTGTTTACAGTTGTTGGCTATACTTTCAAACTTGGTACTCTCAAACAAAGCAGAATAGAGGAAAATCACTCAAAACAAGATGGTGAGAGCAATACAGGGTTTCAAATCAAGTTAATAGGAAACCAATGTGGGTTACTATAATATATCCTGCTATTTTTTATTTATTTTTCCCTTAATTAAAAGGATAAAAGTGAAAAAGTAGATAATAAAAAGAGGATTGAGATAAAAAAAAAAAGAGGACATAACAACAAAACAGCGCAGGTCAAAGCATAACCATTTAAGCAAAATAGTATTTCACCACAAGATACCCTAACATAAAAGTAGTTACCATAGTGTCTCTTTCCTTGAAACCTTTGAGTATAACCTCGTATACTGTAGCACCAAACATATCATCCTGTGTCTCTTTCATAATGGACAGTTACTACATTTTTGCCTAGACACAATAAATTTAACTTATTGTAAACTACACATTTAAAAATTATAATGTTCTTCTTTACCTTGTTTAGTATTATCCATTTTTATACTAAAAGACTACTGCCTATTCATTTGTGATTTGCCTGGTAAAACTTTTATTTTCAATTTTTTTTTTTTTTTGTAAATGGTACTAAGGATAAAACTCGGGGTCTCTTGCATGCTAGTACATCCCAGCTTTTTTTGAGATATGGGTGGGGAACAACACTCTTGCTTTATAAATCTAATCATAGTATATTTTTCTTTTAATTGATATGGTTTATCATTATTTTATTGTATTCTTTGCACATCTGTAGTTCCTAAAAATCTTGTACTGTGTGGTTTATATGTTCATTGTTTCAGGTGTGGATTTCTTTTTTGTTTTGTCTTGTGTTTTTGTTTCTTCACTTGTTGTTTTCGTTCCTTGGTTTCTTGAGACAGTCTAACTTTTGTAATTCAGGCTGGCCTCAAACCCACCCTAGTGCAGGCATGTACCACTACCCCAGGTTCAGGTGTGTTTCTTCTAAAAACTTAGAACTCCTGTACTTTTATCTAACAATTACCATCTAACCTGAACTTCACAGACTGCCTGAATCTAATTCCCAAGACAACTCTATTTATAAGCACTGATGAATTTATTATATTTTTCCTACCTCATCTTCTCTGCATCCAATACACCTAGCTGTAGTATTAACTTATGTATTCATTATTTGATCTATACCTTTATCTTTCTATTTACCTTACTCATTACCTCCTCTCCCCCCTCCTGCCAATAGCTCTCATTAGTTACATAAATTTTACAGAATTTACAGCTTTTGGCTAAGCAGAGTGGTGCATACCTATAATTTCAACTACTTGTGAGGCCAAGACAGTAAGACTGCAAGCCTGAAGGACTTAACATGACCCTGTACTAAAATTTTAAAAATAAAAATAAAAATGACCTGGGGAAATAGCTCATTGTGAAGGCTCAGGATTCAATCCCCAGTACAAAAAAGTAATTTACATTTTTTATACCCTCTACTGCAACCATCATCTTCATGTTGTGGCTCTGGTTGATCCTTTTCTTGTGAGTGTGAGTGCACACACACACGCAGATTGAACCTAGGATCTACAGTGAGCTACATCCCCTGTGTTTTTTTATTTTTCAGTTTGAGTCAAGGTCTCACTAAGTTGCCCAGGCTGGACTCAAACTTTCAATGCTCCTACCTCAACCTCCCAAAGTGCCAGCATTACAGTTATCAGTCACCGCGCCCAGCTGGTTAGTCCTATATTACGTGACCACCAATCCTTTTGCTGGAATTTTCCTTATACTTGGCTGAAGTTCGTACCCTAATTTTTCAAAGGGCCCACAGGAACAAAACTTGCCAAATTCATGTATTCAAATTATCGGTTTTCAGGTTCGAAAATGGTGGCTTGCTAAGGGTCTGGGTGCAGAGTCTCTGTGGAGAAATCAGATTAGACACTAGAATATGACAACATGGAGAGGGCCAGACAAATGGATAACGATTCTTATTAACCAAGGTGGTAATCGAAGGGAAAAATAAAACTAGGAAGAGGAAGGAAAAATGCAGGTGGAGAGCTGAAGCCGGGTACTCACTGAGCCCTGTTCCGCACTGTCCTAGGCACGCCCGGCGGATCTAAGGTCGTGCTGAGAATGCAGCTGCTGATAACAGGAGCCTGGGAATCCCACACCCTGAACGGGAGGATGCAGCAGAGTGAGCAGTAGATCCAAGGGGAAAAGCTGTATTGGCTCTTGGCGACTGCTAGAAATTCAGACCTGGGGCCCTACAAAGCAGCCGAGGCCACCTGGCTGCACCAGAGACTGCGAGAAGCTCTGGAGCTCCCTGTGAAGTTTTCTGACCAATCCGTGCTGCGCTGGGAACGCAGTGAAGACAAGGGGTGCAGTGTGCAGTGGACCCAAGAGGAAGATCTGCATTGAGTCCCAGTGAATACTAGGGACTGGGTCCCGCAGCTGTTGTCGCTGGCTGGAGGACATCTTGGAATTGGGCAGAGCCTAATTGGATGGCGCCATGGCAGCATCAGTGACACAGAGAGGACTGGTGGAGGACATCTTGGAATTGGGTAGACCTTGGCACCCGGTGACATCAGATAGTTGCCTCTGATGCAGAGGGGTCTAGTAGAGGACAGCTGGGATTTGGGCAGAGCCCTGCACTGTGGTGACATCAGTCAGCCACTCCTGGCACAGAGAGAACTGACAGGGTCTGCTGGGGCTGAACCACACCTCTGGTTGGGACACAATAAGCAGATATAAAATAGTCACGACTCTGTGATGTCCACAAGGTACAGCCTAACTTGCAGATTGACTGGCACAGAGGCTGGAGGCTAACCTGCACCATCCCTGCATCCCTGCCTACCTCAGATAACATCAAATTGGGGAGGGCAGCAAAAACTCCAGTCAGCATGCTTCGGAAAGGCCCTAAGCAATACGGAGAGGGCCAGAGACCCCCCCAGGACACACCAGTCTGAGAGAAACCAGA